AGAAACCTATCTTCAGGGTGCCCTCCTCTTCCAGTGACAATGATGGATTTGTTACATCCTCCATTGTTGCTGATGAAACTTCCAAAAGGAGGAAGACCCCTCCTCAGAATGAAGAACAACCCAGAAGGCCTCCTTTGCCTAAATCAAGAGGTCTAGGTATGCCTGGGAACACAGAATCCAAAGAAGCTAAGCCCCAAATCTCCTTCAATCAGTTTGTCACTGCAGCTGAGGACTTTGGTGGTAAAATGCTTGATGGAATGGATCAATTGGCTGAGATCAACACCAAGCACCATGAACATCTCACCTTTGTTCACAATCATCTTGAGGCTGGACTTCAGCACATCTCAGAGAAGGTCGAAGCTCTGACTCAGACACTGGTCACCTTCATGGAATCATCATCCGCAAAGCTTAATGCTGTTGCCAGAGAAGTTGATGGTGTCCACTCTGTTCTCTACTCGCAATCTCAGATCCTCAATAAGCAGAATAAACAACTCAAGGATATAACAGAATCCCTTGACATTGTACAATGGTATGAAGACCAATCTGCTGAGAAGTTTATGCAGCTACAACTCTTGAATAATGATCACAAAGATCAAGTGGCCACCCTGATCAAGAAGGATCAAGAAAGGTATCAGAAGCTGATACTACTTGAAGCTGGCTCTCAGGACATCAAGTCTGCTCTTGATCGACAACAGAACTTAATAGAAGGTCTGACCTCTGTCACGCAGACCTTGCCAGAAACTCTTGAGCAAATAGCCATCTCCCAGGCAACAGAGTTCCAGAAAATTGCCATGATGATCTCTGACCTGGATGATGCCAAAAAGGGGGAAAAGGAAAAGGACCCCCAACAGAAGAAATTGCCCCCTAGGCCAACTGCTGGGCCCTCATCTGATATTGATCCAACTCCTTACTTCCAGGCCTCCCAACAGAAGAAGAGAGAAGCTGGTACTTCAAGACCTTCTTCTCCTCGCAGAGGTTCTACCAAGAAGAAGAAACCCTTGAGCCTAACTGAGTGGAGACTTGGAGGCTCCCAAAAGATTGATAGAGCCCAGTTCGAAGAAATTCAACAGAAGATGACCCCAACTCAAAGACAGAATCTCTATCTTGACAGAGATGGTCATATAAGGGTCAGACATGGTGGTTCCTTGGAAGAGGCTGAATATTGGTTCCACAAGAGAGTACTCCCAGGCAAGGATGTACATGAAGGAGTACTTCACTATCTGAATTGCAAGCTCTCTCCCATTTGGGCCTCATGTCAAGCACCAGGAAATCTGGCTGGCATAAGAGAAGAAGTGAATGCTGAACTGAATAATCTGAAGGAACAAGATCGCAGAACCAGAGCTGAAGCTGAAAGGGAAAATCTGTAATTCCTTTTAAACTTCTCTTAATACTCTTGATCTAATAAAAGCCTATCTCTGCTCCTTCTAAAGTCTCTTTGCTTCTTTACTCTTTGTTGCTTACTATTTCATTCTGTACTTGTTTCTTTTTGAACTGCTATCTGAATGTATCGCACTCTTACTATTTTCCTATGCCAAGTTGCCCACCAAGATTTTAATGAAAAATTTTAAACTTTAAAGTTTTATGGTGAAGGCACTTCTCTGGAAATAGTTAAAGGGTTTTGTCATCATCAAAAAGGGGGAAATTGTAAGGAATAATTGTATTTAGATTTTGATGATGCTATATTTATTAGGACTTTAGAGTACCCCTTTTAGAAATTATGTATTAGAATTTTCCCTTGTAAAGTTCTTAGCATAATCGACTACCAGAAGGCCTCTCTACCAGAAGACCTCCAGACAGAAGATTTTGGTTCTCTGTCTAGGAACAGAAAACCTCAGGGTCTCTGTTACCCTTTAGCTTGACAGAAACCCTATTGGTCCTCTGTAAGCTACTATCATCAGAAGTGCTCAAGATCTTCTCTGATTAGTTCTCTGCCAAAGACACCAGAAGGTCTGACACTTGGAAGAAATCCACAAAGCCGGGAAGTCAACTAAAAGATTCCTTCAACGGCTAGGAGTATGAAACGGAAAACCTACAGTGCTCGCATTAAATGCTCATTTAATGCTCCCCATACTCCGTGGAGTAATTGCAGATGATTGGCCGCAATGTCAGGATTACTTTATCCCAAAATAGTAACCCGCCAACTTTACCGGGTCCTACTGGTCAAGTCAACTGCTCGCGCATTAAATGCAGTTGTCCTCCTACTCCTCCAACGGGAAGACAACCTCAGTATAAAAGATACACTACGAAGAACAACAGGATAACTTTGCTACAACTTTGCTATAACTTTGCCAAGATTACATTGCAACTTTTGCTAACCACAAGCAAGATATTCAAACTCTGAAAAGCAAAAAGCCTCCTTGAGATTCAAACTTATTATCTTCTACAAGAGAAGGCAGAAGTTGGAAAAATACTCTTTCCAACTCAAGCAAAGTTCCAAGTGTTCTTCAACTCTTCAAGCTCATCACATACAAATCTTTTGTAACGAAGCTAGTTGGAGGAACCCTTGTTTCAACAGAAACTCTTCTTGCTACAAGAAGGACGTCCAAGTAACTGGAGTAGTGAAGTGGTGATACTTCAAGGAAACTCAGTGAAAGGACCAGTGTTAAAGGAAGCCAGGCAGTGCATCCCAGGACACATCTAGGCTTGAAGAAGACGTGGAGTGCTTCTTAAGTACTAGGACTAAGGCTTTGTAAACGACAGTTTTTACAGCTTAGTGGAACAGTGGATTAGAGGAACGAGTTGTTCCTTGAACCACTATAAAAATCCCTGATGTCGTTTACTTACTGCTTTTAATACTTGCACTTAGTTAGAACTGTCTAACTCCTTGGACTTGGTATCTGTGTTCAGCAGAACTTGTTCTACGAGTTAACAGAAGGCCTACTGCCTTTGCTTCTCTGAGGCTAACAGAATTCCCTGCCAGAACCCCATCCGCTGCCAGTCTGTTCTTTCAACAGAACAGGCTATTCTGTAAATCTGGTACTTAGTTTAAAAAGCTAAAAACCAATACAGTCTATTCACCCCCCCCCCTCTAGACTGTATCCAGTATAACCGGGACCAACAGTTTACTTACTGCTTTAATACTTGCATTTAGATAGAACTGTCTAACTCCTTGGACTTGGTATCTGTGTTCAGCAGAACTTGTTCTACGAGTTAACAGAAGGCCTACTGCCTTTGCTTCTCTGAGGCTAACAGAACTCCCTACCAGAACCCCATCCGCTGCCAGTCTGTTCTTTCAACAGAACAGGCTATTCTGTAAATCTGGTACTTAGTTCAAAAAGCTAAAAACCAATACAGTCTATTCACCCCCCCCTCTAGACTGTATCCAGTATAACCGGGACCAACAACTTTAAATTTGGAACGTTGAAAAAATCAATTTTGGACTTGTCACGGAATTAGTCACGGTCACGTCCGTGACTAACTGTAGTCACGATACTAGTCACGGAGTTGTCCGTGACTAATTTCAAATTTAAAAAAAATCCCGCCGGAGGCGAAAATGGGTTGGCCGGAACATTTTAGTCACGGACTAGGTCCGTCACTACCTCTAGTCACGGACGTAGTCACGGACAAATCCGTGACTACTTTTTTTTAACGATTCCGTGACTACACCGTGATTAGAACCGTGACTAACTAGTCACGGACCAAATCCGTGACTACGGTCCGTGACTACAGGCGATTTTTTTTGTAGTGTGTCAACTCCCCCACACTTAGCTTTTTTACTCGTCCTCGAGTAAAGTCAAATGTTTACTAATTCGAAGTTCTCAAAAGTTTAACAATCAACTAGAAAAAGCAAAAGACCACCAAGGATAACATACGAGTTTAACATTGAGTGTTTAGCTCAAAGAACAATATCTTCTTGGGTTTCATGGCTTTCTATGCTCATCTTCTCTTTTTTCTCCTTTCTTCTTCTTCTTTTTCTTCAAGAGATTATGTCCTGTAACAAAAAATATATCTCTCATATCTCTCATTTTGCCTAGAAGCTTTTTCAGATTTTCATCCTAGCATCTCTTTTTGTTTTTCCTTCCTTTCCGACTCACTCATTTCTCTTTTTTAAGCCCTTGTTGCTTAGATTGCCCGTTTTTGGGTTTTCAATCTAACTAGCATTCATTTCCTTTTTTTGGGTGTGTGTGTGTACAAAGAGTACAAGAAAAAAATGCTTAGTATAAGGTAAAACAAAAGGGAATTTAACATACCAAAAAATGAGTCTTCCTCCCCCACACTTGGATCAAGGCACTATCCTTAGTGCCCGCCTTCACCACCATAAAAACTTCCTCCAAAGCCTCCGTCGGTGCCGCCCTCATTGCCCCCTTCACCCATGGTAGTGTCGTCTCCCACTAGTACAAAAACGGCTTTTCACATCGGTCAAAAAAGGCTTTTTACATCGGTCAAACAGCCGATGTGGTTCCAGCACATGTGAAAAGTATTGACTTTTGACATCGGTCAAACAGCCGATGTGAAAAGTCTTTCTAGATCGGTCGTTTAGTGCCCGATCTAGAAGATAGTCCGAAACGGCGTTTTTAATGATTTTTCACATCGGTTATAACCCATGTAGAAAAGAAACCACATCGGTTATTTTACAACTGATGTAGAAAAGCTTCAATTTTTCCCGGAGCATAGGTTTTTCACATCGGTTATAACCCATGTAAAAAAGAAATCACATCGGTTATTTCACAACTGATGTGAAAAGCTTCATTTTTTTCGGAACATGTGTGTTTCACATCGGTTATAACCCATGTAGAAAAGCAATCACATCGGTTATTTCACAACTGATGTGAAAAGCTTCAATTTTTTCGGTATTTTTCACGAAAAAAATTTGCAATATGACCTCTGTTTATACTATAATCACATCATTAACAGTATCATCAACTATTATATCACAATTTTGACCTATTCACTTGATCCAACTAAAACAATAACACAAGCTATTTTTCAATTCTTCCACAAATATTAAACAAGTTCAAGTAACAACTTAGTACATAATAATAAACTAAAATAAAATAATTCTTGCACAAGTCTAGAGTAATAACCCATTGTATAAAGTTACAAGTCTCATCATCACTCAAAAACTTAAACAAACACGTTCGTCATGTGTCGTTGATGGATTGCGTCATTTCTAAGAAATATGATGCCCAACGAGTTCGTACTTCATCAATCTCTTCTGATGAAAATGGTTCCGGATTAGCGAATCGCTACAAATTATATAAGAAGGTTATTAAAAAACATTACATGTGGAGCAAACCTATTAAATGTAAATAAAATAATAACGTACCTCATCCCACATTTCAAGAATTACCGCCGAAACAATATTCAACATATGCAACATCACATAATAACCACATTCATAACTCCCAACTTGCATTCGAGACTAAAAATTAGAACATAATTACTAATCAGAAATTACGGTATTCGACTTGGTGCTACACAAATGAAAGTAAAAATAACATACAAAATAAAGTAGTAAGTATTTACCATAGGAATAATCCATTTCACTCTTCCCTTTCTTGAGTTGAGCCTACGGCTTGCCTCCAATGCACTATGTAATTTATAATATTAAATATATATATAATAATAAATTATTTATGTAATTAAGATATACAATATATATTTAAAAATTAAATAAAACGGAATGTACAAAATACTTACGCATCAATAATACTTACGTTTGCACCTCATTTACAGAATTGCCTACTCCTTGAATGGTGTGTGGATCAATGAATCCATACACATGACCAATATTTCTGGATATGCACAAGCGGTGTAGATACCTAACACAAAAAGATTCAAGTAAATAAAATGCTATTTTAACTAATTCTCTAAAACTACCAAAACCCATGGATGGTTTTCTGCAAATGAGCTTCATGCTCTAACATTCTCCTAAGTGTAGCCTCCTTTGACTTGTGAAACATTCTTGACTCTATAAAAGAAAGATAGAGAAGACAGTTAGGAAATGCATTATAAAACCTCAAGAAAGTGGCAAGAGCTTACCAAATGGAATGTCAAGGGGCACCCTAGAATCAATACCGGATGAGCTTAAACTTGTTGATGACTTTCCCATATCCAGATGGTGCAGTTTTTGCCTTCTAATATTTTACAATTATAAAATGAAGCAATTTTAATCCACACGGGCAATTACACAATTATTTTGGTGACTCATAGAAGAGTCAGAACCCACAACATTAGACTCAAATGCAACATGGGAATTAACAGCAATAACCGAAACTGCATGATTTCTTGCCCTAAGTCTCCTCTTCGGGGGGGTGCCTATTCCTGCACAAGTATTATAATTAAGCCAAGTTGCAAAATAAAGGAAAGAAACTACGATCAAACTTCAATGTTCGGTTAGCAATTTCTTAGACGCATCTTCTCTTGATAAAGCAAATGACACACATATAAATTTGTCAACAAACAATGTCATAAGGCAAAACCACTCAATGCTTACCTATGCACTCTGTATTTGTAACTTCTTGAATAGGCATTACAACTCCATAACAGAATGATTTTGACAAATAAGTAGTGTATAGTATGACTGCTAAGGTGCTACCTGCGCAGCTGCGTCATAGAATTAAGCTTCAAATAAGATAGGTGAAGTGGGCTGCCTTCAAAATCTAGCATATTTTCATACTAAAAGTTTTAGGCATGTGCAAAAAAACATCATAGCACATAATATGTCCTACACTTTAATACTACAGACCTAGATACATATGCATGTATCATTAAAAAACCATATAATTATCATGGAATGGTTCCATCAATTTTTTATATAAATAAGAATTAAGAATAAGAAATACAAAGTCACCTAAAACTTTACTTGAAATGTTCTGAGACATAGATACTCCGTAATATATGTCGAAATCGAAAATAAAATATAATAGTCAAATTTTGTTATAATTCACAATATTTTATCAATCATCACTAATCTTTTTCCATTAATCACCTAAATCTAAAAAAAATTGAGATTGAGACGGGGTAAGAGCCTACCACATATTTTGTTTTAATTCAACTGCAACATCCTTGGCTCACATGGTAATAACGTACCAAAAAAGAGTGGGGAACATGTTGGTGGGGAACATGTTGCTGGTTTTTGGAATTCGACATCAGGAAGTGTTTTCACACCTTTGACCGACATCGACTCATACCAATCTTGAAAGAAGATATGGATGATCCCAAGTTCTTTTACCCGAAGTAGGTAAATTTTCATACACTAAATTCTGGAAAAAACCTGATTCTCCATTTCCAATCCATATTTTTTGTGGCAGATCAAGGGAAGTATCCAATTCAACACATAATCTCACTGTGGACGGTCTGGAGAAGTTGGCTGTGGGAGCATCCAATCTGATGGGTTTCCCCAGGAGCAAACCTATGGAGTATAGGGCCGTTAAATCGTGTAGGTGGATCGGTAGTCCCTCAAGGGAGATCCAGACCGGGGCCAGAGGGGAGTCGCGATCGACGGAGAAACTGGGCGTCCATCTGGTTACTACCATTTGGTACCCAAAGAAGTCCCATGATTTTTTCTCCCAAAATCGTTGAAAGTCAATATCTGATTTGAAATTAAGAAGAACAACGTTCGATTTAAGTTGTCCAACCGAATAGGGTTCTAAGAATCGTAAGTTTTCAAAAGCTTTGCGAATCGAGTGGATAGGGGGGCGACCCAGAGGAAATGTACCAACCAAAGCATATTTGAAAGGATCGGATAGAACCTGTATATCGTCGCCGGAGAAGGAGACTGACGTGCACTCGTCGTTAGGTGCACTCAAAATAAATACAATACAACGAATATACGTAGTATAACGAATTAAGGTTCGTATCCACAGGGAAAGGAATACTTTTCTTTTATATAAATAGTAACAAAAAGGGGAGTTTAGATTTGTTTGCTTTAAAAACACTAAGATAAACAACCTATATGAGTTTAATTCAATGAGATGAAGACTTGGTTTTGCTTTTATCCACTTAATGAAATGTTCGTCGATCCCGGTTTTATCTTTAACTATCTTCCTCTCGAATACTCAATCGAGGAGTATATCCAGTTCATCGAGGGTAGTTATTAATAACGAGATGCGTTCATTAATAAAACTTACTATTGAGTCAATATAGAACAAGCGCCGTATATTAACTTGATAGTAGCAATAAACTTAAGATGAAAACGATTGAGATTGATAACCTCAACACAAGCGGTTTATTGGTTCAATCAATATAATTAATTCCCCTTGGCATATTAACCATGAGATGCATGCATTAATATTCCAAGTTTACTACCGTTGAAAGAACCGGATTAATAAAAAGCGTATTAACCGATCGATTCTAGTAATAATTAATATGAGAAACAATACTAGTTGATACTTTAAGTAATGTTTAAGATATTAACATGAAATGTGAATAGGAATTAATTAATACTCAAGGAAGAATATTAAAAAATATGAATCCTACTATGATTAATATCAAGATGTTAACTAATTGTCATCTTAGGAACACTCCCCAATATTAACATAGAGGAAGAAATAGCTATTACTATGACCAATGTCAAGATGTTAAGTAATTGTCATCTTAGTAACACTCCCGAACTTTGATATAGAGATAGTATTTTGAAAGAAAGAATTAATATTCAAGGAAGAAGATTAAAGAAAATAACTCACAACTTACAAATTCATTAAGCTTCAAAGTAGCAAAACCAAGATGGAAGAGTTTAGCTCCTCATTTGGAGACTAAACATGATGAAAAATATAAAGAAAGAGCTATTCTATACTGAGCTTAGATGTACAAAGGAATTGGATATCTTTTTGTGAAGGAAAGGAGGTGTATTTATAGGCTTTTGGGATGGGATTCGGGTACTCGATCGGGTATATACATGGTACCCGATCGAGTACGTGTGTAACACTCGATCCGAGGTATACTCGACCGGTTTCAGGCTATTTTCTATAAGTATACCCGATCGAGTATATATTAATACCCGGTCGAGTATGCTTAGAAAATGGTATTCGGACCATACTCGACCGATCTTTGTTTGAAACTCAAAGGCATACCCGATCGGGTATGTCGGTCTACCCGATCGGGTATAGACATAAAATCGTGGCCGAAATCTTCCCGGCATGTTCCCTTGTCTTCGGATCTGATCCGATTTGAAGTTCCAACCTAATACCCGATCGAGTATAGTTAATACTCGACCGAGTATAGACCAAAATTCAGGATCTTCTTTTGTCTTTGAACTTTTGCACCTTCTTTCCACTTTTTGGGTTCACCAACTGTACTTCGAGTGATCAATACCTGTTTGAGCTCAGAATAAATCTAATCTAATCTATTTACAAGAATTTAACAAACTAATCTATTACACCAAAAGTGTGTAATTTCCAAAGTAAAGATCAAGCAAAACTAATTAAAAACACAAACATAAGTATGGAAATTACAAACGTATCAGAGACCGACGGGAAGCCGCGGAAAATTCCAGACGTACCCAGGTGAGATGCGCCTGAAAAAGAGCATTGTTGGGTGTGCAGACGTTGTCCGGGGATTGGGTCCCTTACCGCCACTGCATAACAGATTTTGCTCAGCGATTTATTTGGGTCAATGCCTTCCACCGGCGGCATGACTACTGCACTGGCTTCAGGCCTTGCGAGGAAGACGATGCGCAGGTCTAGAGAGAAGGCAGAGCGTCTCGCTCATCCGTTCTACTTCTACGGATCTTATAAAATCCAAATTAATCGACATCGGGTTATAAGCTATAACCCATCTGGATTAATCATTGATTTTTAAAGTTCCACATCGTTCATAACCGTTGTTATTATCATTTCCATTAATTCTAAAAAGTACCCCCGTTTTTCTTTTTCACATCGGGTCCATTGACAACCGATGTAGACTATTTTATAAAATTATAAAATATACCCCGTGAACATATTTAACATCGGTTAAAATTACAACCGATGTCAATATATTTATAATAATTGTAAAAAAGACCCCGCGTCACTATTTCACATGAGGTAAGACATAACACATGTAGAAAACATGATGTTAAAAGGTCTTTTTGTACTAGTGTCCCATCCCGTCATCATAGCCCCCACCACCGTATCTCGAACCTCCAAAGTTACCCCATTGAGAGGGGTCATACCAAGACGGTGGTGGAGGAGTGGCCATAGAAGAGAAATTCCCGTGATGGGCCATATATGAGTACATAGGACCATAAGTCCTACGATAGTCCTCTTCGTAACGGTGGAGGTCGGCTTGTCGTAGCTCTTCCATTCTTTGGAAGCCCGCCCGTTGCTCCTCTCGGACTTGTGCAAGTTGTTCACCCATGTTTGTGTAATTGAGGTTCATTGTGTTGAACCCGGCAAGTAGTGCTTGTTGGCCCTCCTAGAGTTGTTGGAAATAGTCGGTTGTAGGAGGGTTGTAAGGAGGATTGGGGATGTCTTGTGGTGGTGGGTTTTGAGGGGGGTCGGGAATATCATGTTGGGCATTTCCCTGGGCTTCTTGATGCTCAATTTGTTCGGGTTGTTCGGCTTCGGCTTGAAAATGTGGTGGTATGACATTAGGAAGTAGGTAATGTGCGTGATTTCAAAACTTGCCCTTTTATACCTAAGTTTAGGTCTTTCTTTGGAGGGGATGGGGAAGTAGATGGTTGGTTTGGGTAAGATATGCCACTTGTAGTGGTTTCTCCCGTTGTAGTCTTTGTGGGCGAAGGTGTTGCACCCCGCGTTTCCAAGCCAAGTCAAATTCATCAAACAATGATCGGCTATTGGTTCATTATCCACATAGCCGAATTTGGAGGCCAAATGCATAATGACCCCCCCCCCCCCCCCCCCCCCCGACAACAATATTACTCGTTTTGTTGCAAGTTTTCTCCAAATGATCCCACATTAGCTTGCAAAGGTTGAATGACACGGGTATTTGAAAGAGGGCTAGGGTGAGGATGGCCACGTCCCCCATCCGAGTGTGGTGGTTGTTAGGGCGACCGAGCAAACAATTGGCCAAAAACTTTAGGAAAAGTCGGAGAATAGGATGTTGAACGTGACTAATGGAAAGTTTAGACGCGCTCACATTCAATTCTCCGGTCA